TAAATGTGCATCATGATTTATTATGATATATCTCTGGTATAGAAAGAGAATTAAAATATATGTTAATTTTTTTTATAATTATATATCTATATTAAAATATTTATCAAATTTGTAGACTAAGATTTTACTCCATCGATTAATTTCACTTATTATTTTGAGTGGTAGAGAATTTCTCTGCAAATAGTGACGACAACGCGACGTAATGCGATGCAAAGCGCGTCTATCTAATAATAATGTCGCGAAATGATAGGGACACGCATATTACAACACCTACTTGTCGTTTCGCTAAACACGATCCAGAAAATTATAGGAATCACGTAGCGACGCATCTCCTCTCCGAGAGCTGGCTCGCGCGTCTCACGCCAAATTATTCTCGACTGCACGCTCGTGCTACATTTTATAACCGTCAATTAAACGTGACACCGGACAATTGCTGTTTGTGACCAATGTATCCTCCTGTATAATTCCGAATGGAAGCGCAAAATTTAGTGGTTAGCCTCCCCCGTCCACTGCCGTATCTGTCGAAAGAGAGAGAATTATATGTGTTATACCATTCTCTTAATCAAGCTGTCGTCCATCATTAATATCAATTGAAATTTAATTTTATCTGAAAAAAGAAAAAAAAACGTTATATCCATGAAGAAAACTGTTTTGCTGAGATATCTAAACATTTAGCTAAATATAAATACAGATCTGAAAATAATTTTATTGAGCTATCAAAGTAATAAAACGTAAAAGATGCTCTCTCAAGCTGGATGCTAGAATGTGAAAATTTTTTGTAGCTACAAAAAATTTTCACATTCTAGCAACCAGGTTGAGAGAACGTCATACATTTTATTACTCATCGTGCTTGAGTTTCCTACATCGTTATTTTAAAATTGTTCAATAAAATTATTTTTAAATCTACATCTGTTTAAAGCTTAAGATACTTGAACAAAATCGTTCTTCCCATGTCTTTTTTCTGAGATTAAATTACATCGTTGTCTACAACCCGTTTCGAAAAATATTATTTCCTTTCCTTCGTAAATGCATTTGCCGTCTCGGTGCCGGAGAACGATTCGACTTGATAGCCGCGATGCATCTCGGCACGCTCGAGGGAATCGAAAATTGCAATGCGCGTGAGTAGGTGTATGTACCAATCTCGCTCGCTACTCGCAGCTGCGGCGCGATGGTTGCAACGATTCCGAGGCAATTGAACCGAGACGAAATACCGCACCGACCAGCGCAGTGGTCAGCCACAGCGATCATTTTCGATACGGCCTCGAGAAGGATGTTTTGCGCACCGGTGAGAAGGATTCTACGGAAAATTTTAAATCATGGTCAAAGAGCATTGTGCCCGTTCCCCGTCTCGTCCCATGAAATCGGATTAGCCTCATGGCATCTGACTTTTCGTCGCGCCATTTTTTTGCGCGTCGACTCATCACGTTCCTTGTATTTCTTTTCGTCCTACCCGTTGTGGACGAGTTACGCAGGAATTTTTAACTTGGAAAGGAAACGACAAGATATCACGTTCTAGCCGTGCGGTCACGTTCTACAGTCCGTTGCGACGAGATCGCAAAGATCGCTCGGAGATCGCGAATACTACGAAGGCTGCAGCTCTTTTCGTAAGATAGAGCATCGAAGCGTTAAAAATATTTCCTATTTTAATTCTCCTTTTATCTTCCATCTCCAAATGTTAGTTGGAGTCAACTACTAAATTTACCTGTTATTCAGTTAATAGAAAGAACGATTTTGCTGAAATATCTAGAAATTTAGCTAGATACAGATTTAAAAATAACTTTGTTGGATCAGAATAATTACGTAGGAAACTCAAGACGATGAGAAATGCTATAAAAAATTTTGATGCTCTAGCAACCAACTTGAGCGTTCTACATTTAGTTAGAATGAAAATTTTGATTTTACAATACAATTTATAAGTTAAAACATGACATAATTTTAGTATCAACAAAATTACGGTTGTCCATACGCAACATTTCTCTCAGTGTGTCATCGAGATTAATTAACGATTTCGAAAACTTGATCGAAAGCGTGTTATTTTCAGCCTCTTATTCTTAATACATAATTAATGTAAATCATTCTTATTGAGTAATCAATTCCAAAAACAGCCGAGAGAAATGATCGCCAAAATTGGGAAAAAGTAAAAGACACTCCGTAAGGATACGAGATAAATAAATGATATATTCGCCGCATTTTAAATTGGTCGGAGTGTTTTTATTGCGGGGCCATGAACGGGTTGACGAGAAAGAAAAATTCCGTCGGGTTCTAGCCATAACATTTTTCAGGACACGGTAAACGATAGGCGCAGCACAACGTGGGGAACGCCAGGCATTTAATGCCAGCTCGCCGCGCTGTCCGCATTCTCAGGTGACAAGCCTTTACAGCTCTCGCCGCTCGCCGACGCGAGCGTTTCTGCACCACTGTGCACTGTGGAAACTATAGCGCGCGTATACCCGATCCCCGGGTACCTACATATATGTCCATACGTGTGCCGAACAAATAAGGCACTTGTTAGGCGCTCCGAGGCTAGCGAGACTCGCAATAGCCCCGCGGGACGGGTTTTGCAGGCAGCCCTTTTGCCATAATCGGCAACACAATACCTGTCGCCGATCGTCCACGGAACACTGTCCCCATTCCCCTCTAAAGCCGCAAATGTTCTTGCAAGTAGATCGCCATACGCGGAGAGAGTAACCGAGTCCTTCGTGCGTACGAAACATCTCCTGTGTAGATACTAATGCAATTTTGATTACTGTTTCGCGAACTTGAAATTCAATTCAGTTCTGAAAAGTTCTATTTCGGTAGTTAAATAGTAACAAATTAAAAAAGTATTTTGTTTAAAAACAAGAAATTTTATTCGAGGATTATTATTTTCGTTTTTATTATCAGGAAATTATTTCACTCCGGTATTTTAATCGAGAAATTGATACAAACATTAAATTATATAGAGTTACGAAATACGTACATATTCGTGATAATTCATGATGTTACGTGTAATGCTTTTACGAAGCATACTCTCGATATACGTGCGCCTATTAAATGCAGCCACGTATACACACAACGTATGGAATGAGCGAGTTTACACCACGCGTTTTCTGCGCACGCATTCCCGCGCCTGTCATTAACTTGCGTGCAACATTACGTACATTGCTCTCAAAAATGTGTGCGTATTTCTTCCTTGTATGGTAAACTCGCTCCAGATGGCTTGAAGAAAAAAGTCGAAACGTTCGATATGGGAAATCAATTTATGTTGAATGTACAAGTAAATGGTTGCGTTCAGCAGAAAAAGCAGCTTTGCAACTGTTGTAAAATTCTTTAATATGATTGATCTTGCCCTTACTAGATCTGGTCCTCACTAGATCTAAATGTATAAACCAATCATATTTAAGAATTTTACAACAGTTGCAAAGCTGCTTTTTCTGCTGAATACAGCCAATATGTTTCGAACAAATATTTTTATGCCAACAACTGCACAGTGTTCGCTCTCATTTGCCTTTCCTTTTATTAATACTTATTTTGAATACTGAGAGCTCAAGAAATTACCATTTTGTTACTTTAAAAAATGTCTATCATAATAATATACACTATTAAAAATTTCATAAAATTTAATATACTTTTAAGTTACACAATTTGAACTTAATTTTATGACATTAAATTTAAAACATTTATAACTGAAAAGTATATTTGTATACATGTACATGAAATTTAATGTATTTTTCATGAAAATTTATAAAATGTAATGTACATGTTCATTACATTTAAGTAGTTTAATTTTCAATTAAATTATTCATTACTTTTAATTTCGTTTATAACTACGAGCTTCATTTACGAAGGAAATTCGTGGTTACATTTCTAACAGTGTAGTAATATAGTTGTCGTAATTAGAAACATTGTACACTAAATTAAAAAAAAATGGAATAAGTAGAACAAATATAAAAAAATGTAATTGTAAGAAAAATGATACTGAATTGATATAAGTACTAACTGCAGTATTCAGCATAGACAACTATACATCTATTAAATAATAACAGAATTCTTTCAATTCAAGTAACTAGACACGTATAAGAATAGATAATTTTATATTTTGTCTACTGCGGTGAATTCGCGCTGAGACATATCTAATGAATCTTTTATATTTATAGGATTCTTAATTTAAAAAGGTTTTACTCTATATATGAGTATGTTATGGAATAATTCACAAAGTTAGTACGGTATACTAAACAAGATATACCATAATAAAATAGTAGCAACAGTTCATTTTTTTGGATTTTATTACTTGTTTTATTTACTTAAAAAAAGCACAAGATTACTTCTCTGTTTTTTTCGTCTTTGCAGAAGCCTGCTGTGCTTTCATAACCTTATAGACGATCTTCTGCTCCTCGATCAAAAACGCACGCACAATCCTGAAAAATCAGTGCAGTTTGTTATAAATATTACATAAAACGTAATGTAGAACTTATTGCAGGTTTATTTATTAAAGATTAATGATTAATCCTGCTTTGAAGACAAATAATTGCTCTATCCAGTGTATCAGTATTTAAAATATAAGTATTGTAGGATGCTTTTGTTAAATGTGTAACATATAATTGATGTTTATTGAACAAATATTTAAAATTTGAGCAATTTAGGATGTTAAATACGTACCTTTCTTTTACACATTTGTGACAAAGGACTCCACCGTACACTCGTTTGACGGTTTTCTTACGTCTGCACATACGTGAACGTTCCATTGGTCTTGCGGGTTGGATACCCCTCAGCTTGTCCTTACATTGTCCGCATCTTGGGATCTTTTTGGGTTTTTTCAGGTATTGGTAAACTAATTTACCACCTGGTGTACGTACGCTATAAACAAAATTTATCTTAGTCAATTCTTAATAATAATAACTCATAAAATTTGCCAAGAAAAATTCACTTTAATATGACAATTCTAAATACTTTCCAGAATACAGATTAAATATTTGCAGTAATAATAGTTAAATAAATGTTGATAAGAGCAATAATTTAAGATTAATGTCACTGTGCAACACATGTGAATTTCAAGAAACTTAAAGCAAGCGATCAAAACATAACCTCAAACCTTTAACAATTTACTGCGATAAATACTGTCATTAACAAAATGAAATTCCTCTGCGAATGAAAGCTAATGAATTTTATCTGACATTACCATTTACTACTATTTGTGTAGATACTTACACACGCCTTCTGTTGCTTTTTGTGTTGTACGACAAACGTCGCCGATAGGTTAGTCGCTGTACCATTTTGGTTCTGCAACGTTAATTACTTTGTTAGTTAAAAGAATTGAATTATATAGAATTGTAAAGCATAACCGATCACCGCAGATTTCTGCGGAGGTCATATGACGTTAATGCATCTTACGATTGATACACACAACGTGGATATTATAAAATCATATCAAAAACGCCACGAACCTTATTCAGATCCAAACGGAAGAGGAAACGATACTCTAAGAAGAGACGCTTTTACGCACGCATGGCAAATTATCTGGTGCTGCCATCTGTCTATAAAAATACGAGTTAAAAATAACAATTAAGAATACTTACGATTGATATTCATTTATCGATAATAGAAAATTTTTATTTAAAATAAATAAATAAATAAAAATGAATAATTTTGTAAATATGTATTGTGTTATCATTTATTTGTTCTATCATCTATGTAAGTAATAAATAAAAAAATTTATGTGTGCGTATATATACATATACATGTATATTGTATATATATGCACACACATATATATACATATATGTATATAGTATAAAATAATAATTATATGTATATTTTCCAAGCACCAATGCGCTTGAAAAACAATATTACAAAAAGACTGTTTGTAATATAATAATAAAATTAGTGCTCCGCAAAATTTTTATCAACAGAGCTCTCTAAGATGTCACTACTTTCCAGTTTCTTTCGCTGCAAGGCGTTGCGATTATTTACGTTTAAATATAAAACGTTTTTCTATAAATAAAAATATATATATGTATAAAATGTAAGTAACTGTCTCTAGTTTAAAAGTTTCCAATTTTCCAAAAGTGAGCACTTTTTTTTTTACATTCATGATGGATCAATAATTCTCCAGAATTTGCATATAATTTTTCAGAACTTTTGTAAATTTCGAAATTTTTCAAGATTTCTATAAAGATTTCTACATTTTATAACTTTAGAAAAATTTTCAGATTTTTTAATAGAAATTAAAACATTTTTTAATGTCAAGAAAGTCTACATCTTTTCTAAAATTCTTTATGTACGTATATAAATTTTGAAATATTCTAAGATTTATTTCTAATAAAACCTTCAATCTTTCTTTCTTTGGACAAAATTTATGTTACGTCTTTCTAACAAATTGATCGTCATTGAAGATTTCCCATCTCAATTGCGATGCAAGACTTGTGGAATTATAATCAACAGATACGTAAGGCATTATAATTATTATAATTAATTCTGTAGCGATCGATTTAAAAAAAAATGGCACAGAAATATTACTATTATCGAAATTTTATATTTTATTCCGCTATACTAGCAATAATTATATAATAGCGTATTAACAAGATGCGAGGATAGAGAAGGAACAAACCGGGTCGCGATTTACATCGTATAAGGTATATTATTTATTATATCTTATGTACATTCAACATCGTCTTGACAACACCATAGGAAAAATTGTTTTTAGACACGTTCCAAAATTTGTCGACAGTAACTCCTTGCTCGCGCTTCTTTTTCCCCCCCTTTGCATTTTTCTTTATACAATGAATCGAAGACACACGGAGGTGATTCGCTTAACCAATTTTTTTTTTATGAAAACTCAGCTCGGCGAGTGTATATAAATTATCGTACGTATGTGTGTGTGTGTTTTATGTGTGTGTGATGATTACGCGACGCGTGTGTGTCTGTCTCTCTTTCTGTGAATTATGTATAATATATGGGACGGTACCTGTGTGTAATGCTTTACTTTTCCTCGTAGATTTTCGTTTTTCGAAGCAGGTACTTTGACAGAGTTCGCTGTAAAGAGAGTCGTGGAAAGTAAAAATAAAAAAAAAAAGAAAAAGAAAACAACGCGCTCGGTAAGTCATTTAATTAACGCTTAACTAAACATAATATAATATAATTAGTTGCGTACAGATTCGATACAACGTTCATATTTATCACTGTAGCTGTAGCTTCGTTTCACCTTCTTTTTACAAGACAGAGTTCACTCGGAAACTCTAGAAATAGGGGAAGAATACGTCGCTCTGCCCTATAATAGTAATAGATAACTTATGATAATTAAAACGTTTTGCAATTTAGTCAGATCTCTAAGAAATAAATAAGGTTTTCTTCTTTTAATAAATAATAGTAGAGTTATAAAATCGATTACACAGGATTAAGCGAGAGGCAATTTTCTTTCCTCAGCCGCTTGCCGTTCTCGCTTTCTTTCTTTGCCAGCAAATTGAAAAAAGAAGCGCTAAAGAGAAAAACAAAAATTCACCGCAACGGAGACACTCGGGCGAATTGAAGTAATTTTGATTTTTCAGGTTGTTTCCTGATGCTCTTTTCTCTCCGATCTCGTTTCTCTAAATAAAGTTTTATACGTATACGATTCCTGATAAAAAGTCCATATTTAATTAAATATAAATATTAAATACATATATATGTAATTATATATAAAAAATATGTTTTCTTTCTTTTCTCTCTATAATCTCTGGTCGTACATAGAAAAAATAATAAAAATTGAAAAATTATTAGGATAACTTTCGAGAAAATAAAAAAATTATCCATATAGAATCGTATATAATATAAAATTGTATATAAAATTACATATAGAATATTATATAATGTAATTGCAATTTTACTTTTTGAAAAAATAATACAAGTTATTTTTTAAATTATTTTTTCTACATATAGACAGAAATTATACAAAAGAAAACATATAGACATATCTTATGTATAAGTATATGTATCTATTTATATTTAATGATATGGACTTTTTGAAGAAAAACTAAAACATGTAACATGAAGTATGATTGAAAACTTTGAGAGCGTAGAGTAAAATTTTGTTCCTTTCAAAAAAAGACAAAAAAAAGTAGACTGGGAGCGGTCCTAAGATTTCTGCGGAGAAATCGAGGAAAACAAAAGAAAAATCGGAGAAGTCCTACGCGACGTACCTCGCTCTCACCTAATATATTTTCGATTTCGTATATTTTCTCTCCCCCTGTGCCTAACAGTAGCCATGTGTGTGTTTCTGTGTGATATTGATAGAGCTCTATGAAATCTAAATATCGAAATTAACGGCATTCGTAAAACTTCAGGTCGCACTCGCAGACTCGTCGCTAAAACACAGACAATTACAGCTTGAGAAAGTTCTTAAGACCTTTTTCTCCCGTCCGCGGGATCCCGGCCGAATTATCACCAAAGTTATTACAAACGAGATTATGGCGCAAATTCGACTAACGCGCACGACTCTCCCTTCTTCCGTTTCCCTTTCGGCTGGGATCCCGCACAATCTCGCCTTTTACGTTTTATCGTACCTTTTTTCTCGTTTAATCTTTAATACGAACATTTAGGAAGATAGCGCTATCGATAATTAATATTTTCTGAAATTTGTTAACATTCTCTATATAAAAATCTGCATTTGCGTATTCACTTATTGCTTCATAATCGTCGCCGTTCTTCGGTAGCCTTCTCTCTCTTTTTTTTCTTTTTGTTTTTCCTAAGGGAGATTTTGCCCTCGCCGCGCGGCCTTCCCTTCCGTTTCTTCGCTGATACGTGCGCGGAAGGAGGTACGGCGAGTCGAAAGACACCAGAGCGTGTTCCGACATTTTCCTTGCTCGCGGTATAACTTCGAGCAACATTTCGTTTACGAGGGAAGCATCGTTGGATCGCGCTTCGAGATAGAAGCGATCGATTTTAATTACCGGTCTAGCGCTTCGTTGGGGCGACACTTTCGCCTCTTCTTTGATTAAAGGAAGGAGAATTGGCTGGGACTGTGCGAAAGACGTTCGCTTTGTCGTTGTCTTGTATCTTGTCGAACGCGAGAAATCTTGCCTCCCAAAACACACCTTCCGCTTCTGTCTATCGCGATCCAACGTCGCTTCGATATACATCGTAGATTATATTACTAACGTTAAATCGTTAAATTAGAAAATAAAAGAATTTCTCCGTGGCTCGCCGGACTCACGTGGAAGCTGTTTAATTAATCTCATGCGCAATATTTTGGTACGCATATGTCTGCCGCTCCGTTGGTCTCTTTTTAAATCGCCGGTAACGTGTGTATCCCGGGCATAACGTATCGCGATCCGGGATGCAGTCTTTACGATTAGCGAATATGGATGTAACGAGATACGGTAAAGCAAGCCTCTCGTCCGCTCTATCTTTCTGTCTCTCGTCCTCTAAGGAAAGGAAACGATTCCCTATTATGGATACATGTATATTGGAATGGACGTTGCTTCGCGAGGAAACTCCTCGGTCGGATTGTGAAAATCAAAAAAGTGTTACCTCGACGCGCGTGCCTCGTATCAGTCGCACGCATCGTCGCTCGCGTATACGTGAGTATTTTGTCCGCATATCTTACACTCTCCGACTTTACATTTCATTTTCTCTTTACATTGTTCTCTTTTTCCGGCTGGCTTTTCTCTTTTGTCATTCGCTACAATCCGAGGACAGAATCGAAGATCAATCAGAGTAGTTTCAACTCGATCTCGAGTAACGACGCATGCGAGGATGTCCCTTCTTGCGCTCGCATTGCATTCCGCGATAATGTTGATATGTTAACGCATTGCTCGCTAATAAGGGACGCGTTTGAAATCATTTTTTCTCGCGCTACGTCCTCAGTAGGGTAGCTAAGCCGGTTCTAATTCAGGGGCAACGAGGGGGGGTCACAGGGCGAGGGGGATAACGTTAC